GGATTGAAGTTTAGGGGGTGGGGTAGCTTTGCTAACATCTTGTTTCCCAAATAGTTCCTGAATACTATAAGAGAGAGGTTAAAATATAGGTGAGATTGGGCGCAACAGCTGAAATGACATACTTGTCCCAGGCATATGAACAGTACTAACGGAGGGGATTAAACTTTAGGTGAGACAGATATGTGTGTGTGTTCTTCTCTTGTTTGGAAGGGGAGGGGGTGGGGAGGATCTAGGAGAGGTAGGGGATCAGTGAGATAGAGATGTATTGACTATGACATACATTCTGTGTCCCTGAGCTGCAGCGGCATGGAGAGGGCTGTACTTGTTGTCGCGGGAGGTATTCGGGTTGGCTCCCTGGTCCAGCAGCAGAGATACACATTCTGTTCAGAAAGCATCAAAATCTGTTATGTATTTTGATACCTCTTGTACACATTTAAAATCTACATAAACTGTTTAGAGAATGGCTGTTATATCATTAACACATAAAAAAGCAAAATATAAATATATGCAGAACATTACAACAACTACCAAATTACACTCACACCGTGTTGAATATCAGTTAGTTACAGACTTTACAGCTTATTGACTTATTAAACATAGCGTGAATGGTGTACTTCTTACATCCACAAACTAGGGTGTATCTGGAAAATTGTTTTTACTTATAAAAAGGATGATGGATATTGTAGATTCCTGTAGCAAAACCATCCAGAAGAACAGCTAACTTCTGACTAGCATCAGAGAGATATTTATTATCTACACTATGCGATAAGCAAGAATTCATGTGTACAAGAGTTACCTACCCTGATGTCCAGACTCAGCAGAACACAGAAGGGGCGTGGTTCCGTCCTTGAGAGGGAGGTTTACATCAGCCTCCCTATCAAGGATAAGCTGGCGCAGGGCGTCCTGGTCACCTTCATGGGCGCGCTTGTGGATTGGTGAGAACACAATGTCAGCGGGGTTTGAGGGACAATTAGGCAAAGCAGGTGAGGGTGAGGGGGCTAAATGATGTGGATGATCCGAATCTGTAAGGAAAACAAATATACTATGACATGTTGGTTCAATAGGATTTTTTTACCCATTGTTATGTTTATAAATAGTGTGTGTAATATATTTATTGTTAATATATCAATCACGAATGATCTACCTATACTTAAGTATTGCCTCAGTCTTCTGATTTGTATACAGTTATCTTAAACCAGACAAACCATACTTCTCTCACTTCTTTAATATATACTTATTTTGTATCTGTTCATTCAGTCTGTACAAAGTAATTCATAAAAACAAACTCAAAAGTTTATCTAAGGAATTCAGACACACAAACATATGAAAAACTTTTCCTTTAGTACGATGCTGTAGAAAACTGTAGGACATGAATGAGATCCCTATCTCCTTACCTTCCTGGAGCAGGAATCTACCGGTAACTGGGTCAACAATGTTTAGACATATATGTTGCTTAAGGATAGAAAATATTCCTGTTAAAATTCCAAACTGGAAACAAGCGAGGGCCATGCAGTGAAGTACATGCTGTGTTTAGCCCACTACTTGACATAGACTGAGATCAACAAGACAGCGAAGATAAGACAGGATGGAATAGAATATGATATATCATCATCTTATCCACCTCCGTTTGGGTAGTCATGCATGAAATATCATCTATCACAACCTTGAACACTTGCATACTGAAAGCAATTACCAATAATTGATAAGGAATCAAGAAATTGATGCCAAATTTAATTAAGAAATGCCTCTATGCAAGTCATGCACAATCCAAATACACCAAAGTATACCTTATTACTTACTCCATGGGGACTTAATAAGCCTGTAAAACCAACATCTTTGTTTTCTTAAATTTCAAATATACCCGGTAATGTGCTCTGGTCTTGGAAATATTGTGGAACATACGATGAAATAAGCCTTACTGTGACATAAAATATATTATATATTTCTGGATATTTGAATTAGATCAAGTCTAGGTCAGTTGTTGTATCAATGTCCTGTACACCGACAGATAACCATTAAATCAGGGATAAATTGACTGACCATAGCCTACAAAGGTCAATCTCCCGATCTATATCATTTCTAGTGAATCATTACAAACCATTGGACAGTAGAGCTGACCGGTGCTGACCACTGCTGATCAGTATTGTGGAAGTAATGGAGAGCAATTTCTATTAGCTCAAGAAATGTAACAACCCTATCATAAAATAGATTGAAATGTGAATAGAAGCGGAATGTTAGCCAGGTTTTATGGTGGTACCGCTGTGTACTGGTGGTCTATTACACCTCCAGTAATTAAGGATCCCTGTCCCTCTCCTGGGAAAACACTAGAGAGTTCCACTGTAGCTTCAATACATACCGTAACTTCCACTTCACCCTTTCACCACTGTAAACCATAATGGACTCATCCAGATCAATTTATGGTAGAGTATACTAAAGTAACCTAGGGGTGAAAGGGTTAAATTTTGTTTAAGATATATCTGTACTGGGGCTTGGCAAGAGAGAAACCACTGATTAAATAGCTATGTTAGAGCAACGAAATTGTGATTGGAGGTCCAGTGTTCAAAATCTGGTCTGGGCTCATTGTGTCTTTACTGTCAGTGTCAGTCAATTTAATTGATATTTTTGCTAATTTTATCTTCATTATTTTTCGTTCAAGTTCCACAAGGTATGAATTTAATTTCAAGAATGATTTATGACAACTATTTGTGTGCCGATAAAAAAGCTTCTATTTCATAATTAACAGATCCCTAACTGTGTCCCATGAAATAGCAAAAATATGCTATCACAAGCGTTGTTCAAAACATTATCTGAAGCTGAAAGTTGTAGAGCTTTATAAGGAAAACTAAATACAGAAATACTTTATTACTGAATAAAGCTAGATATGTTTAAAAACAACCCCTTTGGACCTCAGAAATTAAATCAATATAGGCAAAATCTGTTCATTAGACAACTTCTTCCAAGATGATGCATACAGGTTTTGTAATAAAAAGAATTTCTAATAAGTGTGTTCACAGTAACTGTAATACTTTACACAAATTATTTAACTATTATTTTGAATTTAGATTAAAAATCTGCTGTAAAATTGAAGAAGCAATCTGCACACATCCTCAGTCATAATGAGTCAATGAGAGATATAAAGACTCTACATGCTAAAGTAGATCCGTAGCATCTGTAGAATGCTATGAACACCCATCAATTCATGAATGGAATGATTAGAAATCCAGTTCCACCGAAACTAAAATAAGTTTTGGAAAGCAAAAGCTACATCAAGCAAAGGCATGTGAAATGAAATCCAAACTATAAATGGCACACAACAATCTACAGACTTTAACTACTGAATACTTGCATGTGCATTGTAATTGGAAGCAAAAAGTAAAAGTCATTTGGAGACTGATGTCTTTACTGAGCTGTTCATTTTACGGTGAGGTAACGATAAGGAGTTAATACATTGATGACCATCATCAGGGTCTGTGAGTCATTACAAATCAATACATATCCGTTCTGTTACGTTAAATAGACAACCTGATAAAATGTCCCCTACTTTACAGGGAAATGTCGGCATACAAAGGGACCTGGGATGTCAACATTGGGACCTGGGACATCAACAGGGACTTCGGACGTCACCATGCCTATACATCTTTAGCTATACCCATCAAATTAGTTCTCCCAATGAATTTCTGGCTATAATTCCATAACTCTTCGGTCAATTGATGACTCGAAAGTGACAACTATCATATGTCCTGTATTCCAAATATTTTCTTTTATTAACTCATTCACCCCTGAAGACACATTTGAACTCTTCCAATTCAAAGGTTGGAATAGTTCATTATTGGAATTTCAGGGGTTAATGAGTTAACTAAGCACATTTACAACGGAAAATGATATCCAACATCCCCTAGTACATTTAGTAACTTAATTTAGTACATTTCCTAGAATTTCCAAAGAACTTTAATGCACTCATCTAACTATGTTAGATAGGAAGCATTTTTTATTTTTTCAATGAGGACAAAGAGTTATCTATTTGATATTTTGGGACAAAATTATTGCACTCACTTTCTGGTCTCTGGCAGTCCAGGACATCAAATCAAACTTATCAATGAGAAAAAAAAATGAATTAAAGAGAGCGTTTGATATATTTTCAGCAGAGTAAGAATTCCTGAGTAACAAAGGTTTTTAAAACTTTTCAATAATATAAGTCTTAGCATTCGCTGATCCGTATTAACAATTTTCGGCATACATTTAGTCAGTTATGTAATAATGTTTATGATGATAATCTTTTCGGGCATACCGGTATTGCTGTGGTATAGTTAAGTCAATAGGCCTGTACATGTAAGGTACATATTATTTGTAAAACTATGGGCATTATTCAAATACCTTTTTATTGGGCATACAGGTTTGAGGAATATTTTTTGGGTATATTAAAGGTACAATGATGCTGGTATGATATTTGTCATACAGGTAAATACTATTCATATAATTTTCGGCATATGCATACAAAATCTTGTTTTATTTTTTCGATATACTGGTTCATTACAATTTTGGGGAAAATATTACATACTGCTCGTAGATTTTGTACATTTTTGAGCTTGCAGGGCACGCCTTGTTGGTATCATTTCACAGGTACAATAATAGGAGTAGAGGTTTGTAATGTCGGTATCATTTGGGCTCGTAAAGGGTTTAAAGTTTTATGCTAACTTACCTGAACAAAGTTTATTTTACTGCTTTAGGTGTGCAGAGATAGATAAGCAGAAATTGTGTGCTGAAAACTCATTCCACGGTGTGTTACAAAAACCAAAAATAAAGGCAGAGAGCACAAAGCCGTCTACTACATAAGAGAAAATAAAGAGTCACGACGTGGCCGTAATTTTTCAGGATCTACCCATGTCATTCATCATATATACTCGAGAAAGCAATCACTGGTGTTCTAGTTACCTTTTGAAATGCGTGTCCAAGGATTCAGTGTTGAGGTAGTTCTGTCAGACAAATACATTTTAAATCTTGTGAAATGATCGGAGAATTGTGCTGTGTATACATATAACAATCTTTTGTAAAAATACATCACAATACTGAGTGAAAGTTCATTGTTCCAATCAGTTTCTAAGGATGCAATACATAAATTCATTCCACTGATGTAGTCAATAAGTCCCAGTGAAAATTGTCCGCTGATCACGATGCCATAGCTGTCCTACTGCCATACTACATAAAATATACACGAAGCATGACCATGCAGTAGGCATAACGGTACAGGACATATATAAGTTCCTCTGATAGCAAACCTATCAGCGGCCACTAGTACTTTTGATTTACATGAATAAGAAAATATTCCGCAGACTTACAGACTATGAAGGTGACTTTTTTACAGTATACTAATTAAGGGATTGGTTTTGCCTTACATGGGATTTTACTCTGAAAAACTCTCCACAAACCAGTTGATCTGTATGAAACCAAAGGAAATTCAAGATTGCATTAAAAAACAAAAATTCAAACCAAATAGTTGATGTCAAACCCTCTAAGACCAATATATATCCATTAATTAAGCTTGTATGTGCAGACAGAAATAATTACTTGTGATTGCCACTCTGTAGTAAAATGGTATGAGTGTTACCAACAGAAATAAAACATCTTCCTGATTGTAACCAAGTAGATTGAAATTGTGTGTATATGGCATATAAACACATATTGCTTTGATTATTGTTTTTTTCCTGGTGTCGTATGGCAGGTATTCAACTGGTTTCCATGGCGACAGCTTGGGATTGGTTACCATGCCATTATAAGATCTATTCAGCAACATTAGACAGTGTTTATAATCATGTGACAGAGAAATAAGTAACGCCACGCCCAAAGCTATGGGGACTTGACTAATGAGTTTATAACACTCCCGTTACTGAGATACAGCCGCACCAATACACAGTACATGTAGAAGCTGTAACTATAGGAAGCTGTAGAAAGGAGATACACTGGATATAAAGAAAATATGTCTACCAATTCAATGTACCAACACACATTATAACATGTGCATGTA